CTCTACATCCTTTCAGCATCTGTTGTTTTTTGAGTTATTAATGATGGCCATCCTGACAGGTGTTAGAGGGTATCTTAGTGTGGTTTTGATTTGCATTTCTTTGATGATTAGTGAGGCTGAGCATTTTCTCAGCAATTATCATTAGTCCCAGATTTTAAATGGGGGGTTGTCTGTAGTTTTCATCAGATTCTTTTTTTTTTTGAGTTGGAGTCTCACTCTGTCACCCAGGCTGGAGGGCAGTGGCACATTCCCGGCCACCGCAGGCTCAACCTGCTGGACTCCGGCGATCCTTCTGCCTCAGCCTTCCAAGTAGCCGGAACTACAGGCGTGTGCTACCATGCCCGGCTAATTTTTTTGATTTATTGTAGAGATGAGGTCTCGCCAAGTTGCCTGGGTGGGTCTTGAACCCGCGGGCTCAGGCAATCCTCTCACCTCGGCCTCCCAAAGTGCTGGGATTACAGGCTGAGCTTCATCAGATTCTTATAGGAGTCCCTGAATTTCTTACTGTAGCTTAAGATAGGGGCATGCCTCAAAAATTCTTTGAGTTGAGAATGTATTGTGGTTGGAAGAGCTTAAGAGAAACATCACATCTTATGTAGTTCAATATACAAATAACATTCTTTGCTTTGTGTGTATAAATCCTGTAGAAACACAGCAGTTGGCGTCTTTCACAGAATGCACATGCACAGCCATCCTTATACACAATGTGGCTGCCAGGTCTCCTGACTGTCCCTACTTCAGGACAGGTGCCATAATTTTAGCTGTGGTCCAGTCTTTTTATTTGTTTAGACTTGCTTCAAGGCAGGTTTTGATAAGTAAATGAAGCCATGCGCCTCACATTTTAGTCTGTGTTGATACCTGCTTAGTTGAATAGAACTTTGTGGCAGTTCTCCTATTGAAAACTGAGGATTGTGATTGGAGATGCCTGGATTGGAAAGAGACACTTTTTGGAATTTGCAGTCTGAACGCACATCCCCTTGGGCCCTTGTTTTCTAAAGGTTTGTCCAGGTTTATTCACAGATGCCAAATAATTGTGCCCTTCTCTCTGGATTGTCCCTTAGATTCCGCATAAGGAACCCCTGCTGGTGCACCAGATCTACCGGGGGCCATCTGCCCGACTGCCCCAGATTCTGGCAGTGGGGCCCCCGATGGCAGTGGGCACCTCCCCGTGAAACCTGCCAAGCTGGACACCACAGCTCTGCACGACGACACTTCGGCCAGCTCCGTGCCCCCTTTGGAGGCATGCAACCATGCAGTCCTAGCCTGCAGCCCGGGCATCCCTGAGGAACACTACGTAAGCGAGGCTGTGGAAGATGCTCCCAGCTACAGAGGATACCGGGATGCCTGCACCATTACCGGTATGGGCACCCTTTCCCTGCCAGGGAAGAAGGGAGGGAGGCTTCAGTCACTGAAGATGCAGGATTGGGTCTGGAGAGGCATGTGGGGTGGAATTACCAGAGTGCAAAAGAGTCTGAGCTTTGGGGTTGTGAGACCTCCCATCCAGAACCTGCTTTGCCAGTGAACCATTGTGTGACTTTTGTCAGTCACTGACCTATCTGAGATGTAGACAGCACCTCACAGCATTGTCATGAAGGTTAAAGATGGGAACGTTGACCCCTGAGCTGCATGCATGGCCCATGGCGCGTGCTTAGTGTAGCTTGGCCCCTTCCTCCTCTTTCTCAGGCTGTTTCTTCAGACATAAAATAGGTGTGATGGGAGTACACACTGCCATTATGGGATGTAGAAACACAGAATGACGTGCAGTGCCCTTTGTGCATCACCAGGATTTGCATAGACGTGAGTCCTTACAGATACTTGTGTTGGTCATACCTTTCCAGTATCCTAGGAGCAAGATAATCACTTCCCATTCCACTGGCAACATCTGCTGTGCGGGCACTTTGTCCTAGAGCTCTTGCTTTTCCCTAGGGAGATATTGAGACAAGTGCTGGGAGCCAGCACAAGAAAGGGCTCTCAGTGGAGGATGGTGTACCTAAGCAGAAAAATTTTAGTTACATCCACTTGTGTTTGTTCAGAAGTTTGCTCTATTTCTCATTTTTGTCTGGAGCCTTTTGCTTTTGTCTTCCTGTTTGAAATAATACCTGATGACAGCTTCATATATGCAAGTTTGCTTCTAGCAGCTTGGCATTGTTCTGTGTTGCCAGGAAGCCTTGAGGACCTCCTGTGTGTTGGAAGTTTCCTGGCTACAGAGGGGCACAGAGAAGGCCTAGAGTCCCAGCGTGGTACCTAGCCCTGTGCTGGGACCCCAAGTGCCTCCTCTCTTGTTATCTCGAGTGATCCACATGCTTTGCCCTGCAGCAGTACATGGAATCCCACTCTTGCTTGCCTTCACTTGAGGGAAATGGTTCAAACATCTCCCCTCCATCTGCTGCATCATCCTTTCCCCTCTTTGCACATGGATCTTTTCTATTAGTATAAAAACATGCTCTGCTCTCCCTTTTCTTAACTAGAATCCTTGTTGGCCCCTTGTTCCTCACAGACCAGCACCAAGAGTGTCTGCTCCTCTGTTTGCTTACTCCAGTTTCTCTTCTCCTATTCTCTCCTGAGTCTGCTGTAGGCAGGCTTGTGCCCCAGCACCGACGACCTTGTTCAGTCCAGGGGTCTGTGCTCCATCTTCTGCTTACTTCACTGGTTAGCGGTCATTGATGCTGTTACCCGCTCCTTTGTCCAGGAAACACAGTCCTCATGTGGTTTCTGGGTCCTCATGCATTCCTGGCCTCCTGGTGGCTGAGGCTCTTCTTCTCCCAAACCTGGGAACGTTGGCCACCTCAGGGCTCAGATCTTCTACTCCTTTGCTCTCCTGTGTGCACCTATGCACCAGGTGGTCGCATCCAGCATGTAGGTTTTAAAATTGCCATCTGTGCTGGCTACTCTTTAATTTCTGTCCCCAGTCTGGAACTTTCTCCTGAAGGACAGGTATCTCAGTCTGACTCCACGTAATTTTCCACTTAGGTGCCTAACAGGCATCTCAAACTCCTGAGCCTGGGCAATATAGCGAGACCTCGTCTCTATACAAAAAAATAAAAATAAAAAAAATAGCCAGACGTGGTGGCAAATGTTCGTAGTTCCAACTACTTGAGAGGCTGAGGCAGAAGGATCACTTAAGCCAAGGATGTCAAGGCTGTGGTGAGCCACTGTTGTGCCACAGGACTCTAGCCTGGGCAACAGAGTGAGACCCTGACTCAAAAGAAAAAAAAAACAAGCTCTTCCACCTCCACCTACTTTGCTCAGGGTCTTCTTCCGTGTCCTTGGAAATGGTATTTCCCTTTCTTAGGGCAAAAATTTGAAGGCATTTATGACTTCTGCCTTTCTTTCATACCCAATTTTCCAGGAATTCTGTTGGCACTACTGTGTCTTACAGCTTCCAGAGGCCACTCTGGTCCCAGCCATCTCCATCTCATACCAGCCTCCCAGCCAAGCCTCCTGCTGTAGCCCTTGCCTCTGTGTATTCCATTCTCCACCAGCCGGAGAGGGCTTGTAATGCAAAGTCAGATGGTTTAAGGCTCCTTTGAACCTCTAGTGAGTGCCCATCCTACAGCGACACATAGGAGTCGAATGATGGGGTTCCCCCTGGCCCTACTGACCTGTCTTCTCTACACCCACTCTGCTCAGGCACACTGGCCTCCTCACTAGTCCTTGAATACACCTGACACATCCAGCTTGGGGCCCCGGTTCTTGGTGCTGCCCCGCACCTGGATTGCTCTAACCACAGATGGCCTCATGACCCCCCTTTCCTTCTCCAAGTGGCATTTCATTAGCTGCCTTTCGTGCCCACCCTATATAAAGAGTGGTCCATCCCATTTTTCCCGGTGTTTCTTTCCTGCTTTTTCTCCCCAGATCTAAGCATCCTCTGAGCTACTGTGTGTTTGTATTTTGTCTGCCAAACTTGCAAGGTCTATAAACTCCACGAGGACAAGGACTATGTCTGCTTTGCGCACCCCCAAATCCTAGCAACTAAAATAGCATCTGCATGTGGCCAGTATTCAGTGAACATTTGTTGGGAGAACGAATGGTCACTTAGTTATTACTGCATCCCCATGAAGTGGGTGCTATTATCCTCTTTTTGCAGGTAAAGAGACTAAAATCTCAGAAGTTTCAGGACCTTGCCTAGAATCACTGAGCTCTAAGTGGTGGGAGTTGCATCCAGGTTTGTGGGATCCAGGTCACGTGTTCTCTGCTGCCCAGGAATGCAGTCTAGTTGGGGTGATGGATGAGCAGGTGGAAATTGGCTGTACGCTGAGGTTAGCAAAGTGATAAGCAGAACACACAGGAGAGCTCCAGGAAAGATTCCTGACTGAACCTTGGAGAGGGAAGGACGGGAGGATCCAGAGGACTTCATAGACAAGGCCACATCCCAGCTACATCTACATTTGTCCAAACATGTGAATTGGGCCCTGGGATTCTCGCGGCGTCTGTACCAGTGAAATCCAGGAAACATCCAGCCCGATAAAGTGGTTTCACTTTCTCTGAACGTGACAACCTAGGGTTAAGAAATGGCAGAATGAAATGCTGAAGCTTCAAACCCTATAGGATGTGATAACTCTAGGTTCTTTGTTGGGACCAGAAGATAGCTGAGAAACAGCTCAGGGCTGTCATGTTTAGCAGTGGCTTAGTAAACAGGAGCATCAGCACAAGCATTGCTACGTGTTTAAGCTGCGAGTAGCCAGATGACGCAGAACTTGCTTGGATTCAAGTCTCATTAGATGGTCATTGAAAGGCAGACATAAAATGGAACAAAGTTCTCTGAGAGACCTGGAGTATCCCCAAGAATGCTTCTGTGGGTCCCAGGGCTTTGCCAAGTGCTGTCCCAGGACGCTGCTTGGCATCTAGCCTCTGATAAATACACTCCTCCCCCAGTTCCCAGGGAGCCCTGAGATGAACAGCAGACTTTTTGTTCCATTTTAATTTTTAGGCAAACCTAAATGCCTGTCACAAAACCCTGTTCTCCCTGTTGCTCCCCCTGCCCCCAACTGACAGGTATCACATTTTTGGGTGCGTCATTTTCTGTTTGGGTTGGTTTAACAAGATGAGCCGATAGTGTTCCCAGGCCGCCTGGAGTTACGTAACCCATTGTGCTTCCAGGGCAGCTCACAATCTTAGGATTTGCCCTAACAAGCAAGCTCAGAAAACTGCAGAGGAGGGCACAAGAGGGTGGCTGTGCGGGGTACTGCCCAGGCTGGGCTCTTGTGGAGGACTTCTTTCTTCTCTGAAGTGCTTTTGGAGTTTATGTGTGCACATGGCATTGGTTTTTCAATTCGGCCAGCCCGTCAGGGCCCAGCCTCTGCCAGGACTCTGCCAAGGCAAGCTTATTCGGACAAACTTATGTGGTAAGTGTGTTTGCTGGGTGTGTCTGCTGTTTATTTTCTTTATGGTGTGGCCGGAAAGGAGAAAAGACCACAGGAGAAGTTGTTTCTCTCTTACTCTGTGCTGCTTGGCAGGTTTTCCATGCCCATGTGGTAGAGAAATTACGATATTGAATGATTGACAGGTAGAGCAGAGGAACTTTAGAGACTGCTTGTATTCCGCTTCCCCCTGACTAGTACCCTTGTCCCTTGCCTGGGCTTAGAGGAAGCAAGTGACACCTGTGTGGTGTGAGCAGCAGAACTGAGTTGGGACCAGGCCCCCTGGACATCCACTACCTTTCCCTTCATAATTCTCTGCAATGACTGATAGGATCTCTAAGGCCTTTTAACCTCTCAAACTCTGTGATTTCTCTAATCCTCTGTCTTTATCTTGGTTCTTCCAGTCTAGCCTGATTGTCTTGGATCAGCAAGGCATTTTTCAAAAGGTAAAGGAGAGAGTTAAACCATGTCTCCCTTTGTCTCTCTCTCCTGCCCTCTCTTCCGCCCTCACCTTCTTTTTTTCCCCTTACTAAATGCTTAGCCTTGTGATACTGATCCACACCCCAGTGATGGAGAACTTGCAAATTGCTTCTGCTCTGGCTTGTCTCTATTGCTGTGGGCTAATGTTTCTCCTCACTTCCTCTAAGCTAGTTAGAGTCTGATAGTTGATGACCCATCTGGTTTCTGTCCTGACTGTACACGGTTTCCTAAGAACTGTTTGGGCTAGAAAACAGTAAGTTCCTGAAAGGTGTGAGCTTGTCCTGTCTCGTTCCAGTCAGTTTTAGGTTTCGAGATATATACTACTTATTGAATGTGCCTAAAACACACTTTAAATATGCATGAGTCAATAAGATTCATCCATATTGAATCAGAATGCATTCAGGGTCAGCTTTTGCTTGGAATTATGTTAATTCCTGGGGTCCATTGACGGGAACTGGTCTTGCCCTCAGAGTTCAGAGATGGACTAAGGTGTGAAGGAGAAGCTGTAAAGCTGGTACGAATTGCTTAGGAAAAGTGTACTTGTAGGGACAGTCCTGCTGGGAGTGCTCTTCATCAAAGGGCTATGATTTGGGATTTGTTCCTTTTCTTTAACTAATTTAGGCCACCAAAACTTGATGTTTCGTTCTCTGAAAACATGCTCAGATAAAACATTATGGATTTGTTACACATTTATTAATTGAATTTAAGGTCTTGCTTTTCAGTTTCTGTGCAATATAATTTTTTAATGCATTTTCCATTGTTGTAATTTGAATTGTACTTTTATTTGGCTGTGTTAATACATGAAACAAAAGAATGGACAGTGAAATATTCCTTCTTGGACAGTGTGAGAACACAGAAGTTAGATTCTGGAGAATTATGTATATTTTCTAAATTTGTAATGTGGAAGAGCTTTTTTGCTCCTTCCCTTAGTGCAATCTCCCCTGTTTCACAGTGGATTTGTTTTTGCAAGTGAAATGCTGTAGGAGGCCCTGTTATGCTGACTTTCAGAGCTGACATTTGGTCTTTGCAAAAACACAGAAACGGCCACCTCTGCCTTTTAAATATACTCTCCATGATTTTGGGGGCTACCAGCTGATCCTCCTCTTTTTCAGTTCCTCATCATTTGGTGAGTAGGTTAGAATATTTGTCACACAGGGTTTTTGACAGAAGTTGTAAAATGTATTTAAAATGTATTTGTAAAATTCTTGACATGACTCAGGGGCTGTAGTATTCAGGTGCTTGATGTATTCTTATCCTCTTCCTAATTAATTTTAGTTCTGCATTTGAAATACGTTTTTAATGTATATAATGTGTTACCTGAATGATACACTCTTCCCCTACCGCAAACTATTTTAGGAAGCTGGTGAATAATAAATTATAATTTTTAAAAATGCAGTTGCTGGCAGAGGGGCCAGGCGTGGGCCTCAGCAGTCTGTTCTTCCTGCTCAGCTGGAGTCTGCTGCAGCGACTTTAACTGGGATTGACCGAGAGAGGGCACAGTGTGTACTGCTGCCAGGCTTGGGCTGGCATGTGGATTTGGATGAGACTCAGGGACTTACAGCCTCATGAGGAACTTTGGAGTCAGAAACTTATCTGCATTCTCTGACCCCTGATCTCTTGTGAACATTGAAAAGCTTGAGCAAATCAAACGGAAACTATTATGAAGTGAAATTTTATAACTAATTAGACTCGGAAGAATCAAATTTCATGGATCCTGTATTAGGGTTCTCCATAGAAGGAATTGGGTCACTTGATTATGGAGGCAGACAAGTCCCAAGATCTGCAATTAGCAAGCTGGAGACTCAGAAGAGCCGATAGTGCAGTTCCAGTCCACAGACTGACAACCTTAAGATCCAGGAAGAATGGATATTTCCAGCCAAAGGCAGGGGAAAGCCAGCTCTCAGTGGAAGGCAGTCAGGCAGGAGAAATCCTCTTATATGGGGAAGGGTCAGCCTTTTTGTCCTGTTGGGACCTTTGACTGATAGGGTGAATTCCACCTCACCCACATTAGGGAGGCAATCTGCTTTACTCAGTCTACCCACTCAGATCTTAATCTCACCCAGAAACACCACCACAGACATACTCAGAGTAATGTGTGACCACATTTCTGGGTACCCCTTGACCCAGTCAAATTAACACATAAAATTAGTCCTCAAGATCCTGACATTGACTGACACTGAGTAGTAACTCTGCCCTTGGCAGGATTCCAAGTGCTACTCCTGGAACTCATTTTGTCCTCAACTGTGTAAGGTGGGTACTGCTGTCACCCCACCTTTAAGGGGGCATAGAGTTGAGTGGCTTAACTTCTCATGTAAAACAGGGGTTCTTGGGGCTTAGACCCAGCAGTGTTATTTTCTGACACTATTTACGTTACCGTCCTTCACTGGCATTTGTTTAAATAATTTTTTATTTAACTGGGGTTTTAAATTATGAAAATAACACACGCAAGAGGTAAAACTTGAAATAGTACCAAAAATATAGTCAGTGCAGAATAACTCTCACTCCACCATCAATTACAGTTTAATGGCTAAAAAAAAAAATTCATTCCAAGTCTTTATGCATATTCTTTTTCTAAAAAACACAAATGGGACCATACCATATTCCCTGATCTGCATTTAGAAAATATTATAGTATTTCTTAAAATTATTTATTATAGTACATATAATATTACCTTTTAATTTAAAATAACTACATAGTGTCCCATTGTTTGCCTGTATCATCACCATCATTCATTTATTTAAACTGTGCTATGGTCTGAATGCTTGTGTCTCACCAAAATTCCTGTGTTGAAATCTAATCAGCACTGTGATGGTTTTAGGAGGCACGGCTCTTGGGAAGTGATTAGGTCATGGGGCAGAGCCCTCATGAATGATTAGTGTCCTTATAAAAGAGGTTCCAGAGAACTAGCTAGCCTACTGCAAGCACACCAGGACAGAGAGAGAAGGTGCCATCTGTGAACCAGAAAGTAGACCCTCACTAAACATCAGCTGGTGCCCTGATCTTGGACTTCCTGGCCTCCAGAGCTGGGAGAAATAAATGTGTTGTTTATAAGCTACCAGTTTATGGCATTTTGTTTTAGCTGCTTTGAATAGATTAAGAAAAACCAGTAGTTTTCAATCCTGAAGTGTTTCTTTTAATGACAAAGATTTTGTAATTGCCTCTTTTATTCATTTGAAAGTACATTAAGAGAAAACAAATTATTTTAAACATGTAATTTTTAAAGAATCAATGTAATTATAATCAGTGTACTATGATATAAAGGAGAAAGTAAAGTCACATGATGTAACCTGTCTTTCCATTGTAATTGCGTGGTCATGGCCTCATTAGGATGTGTAATTAGTAATGAGACCCTGCCCTAGCAGGTAGAACTGCTGTGCAAGTGGCAGCCACAAAGGCAGCTAACCATGCCAGTGGTTTGAGGTCCTAGAAAGAGCCACTGTGAGCCACTGCAGCAGTTTCCTTTTGATGGGTACTGCAAGTTATTTTCCAGTTCTTGCCTATTTATTTATTTATTTATTTATTTATTTTTTGAGTTGGAGTCTCACTCTGTCGCCCAGACTGGAGTGCAGTGGCCGCTCCCGGCCACTGCAGCCTCGACCTGCTGGGCTCCGGTGATCCTTCCGCCTCAGCCTTCCAAGTAGCTGGAACTACAGGTGTGCGCTACCATGCCTGGCTAATTT